GTGCGTTCTCGGCGGTGTTTGCCGGTGAGGCCGCACCCCAGGCCTCTTAATGCAGTTCCATCAACACGCGGATTTTTTTTTTAATCCGGTTGGGAACTGCGCGGTACCGGGATTCGAACCACGGACCTCTTGCATGCGAGGCGGATGCTCTAACCACTACGCCATCGCCGCGCAATCTGACGTAATCATGTGGGAGGTAGTGGCCAGATACTGCACCAGGGTGGCCAATCCTTCTCTGGTGAGGGAGTGCGTTCTCGGCGGTGTTTGCCGGTGAGGCCGCACCCCAGGCCTCTTAATGCAGTTCCATCAACACGCGGATTTTTTTTTTAATCCGGTTGGGAACTGCGCGGTACCGGGATTCGAACCACGGACCTCTTGCATGCGAGGCGGGGGGGGGGGCTTGAAACCCCTGAGGTAACGCTTCATAACTCAGATTTGAAGCCGTTTAATTATACATATTGTGTTCTGCCTGTCAGGTACGCACTTATCCACTGTATTATGTTATAATTTGTGCCTAGGTGTGCTAACTTATTAATTAACTTCCTGTGAGGAACCTTGTCAAAAGCTTTGGAGACGTCAAGACATATTGCGTCAGTCTGAACCCTATTATTTAAGGCACGCGTGAAGTCATCGACTGTTTCTATTAATTGGGTTACAGTGAATAAATTCTGCCGAAAATCATGCTGATTAGGAAGAAATGTTTTTGTGCCCTCAAGATACGTGTACATAGCTTTGGATATAATATGTTCTAAAAGCTTGCAGCATACACAGGTGAGGGAAGTTGGACGGTAATTTTCCACCTTTTGTTGGTCCCCACCCTTATGCGTTGGCACGACCTTCGTCACAAGCCAGTCGTCTGCGACACGCTTTTGCTCTATTGAGGCATTATATATTATGTATAAATAGTGCGCAACCCATTGCGCATACCTTCGCAGTAAATCATTTGGTATGCCATCTGGTCCAATCGACTTTTTCACGTTCATGTTCAGCAATAATGATACGATGCCTTCATAAGTGATCTTAACGTCAGGCATAACTGACAACTGAGAATGAAGTGACGTGGATGCATTAACATTATCACGACAAGCAGTAAACACTGACTGGAAAAATCTGTTGTGTAGGTGAGCGATGGAAGAGCAGTCTGTCACCAATTCATCATTGACAACAAGAGAATGCACGCATCTTGAGTGGTGTTCTTTCTGAGACAAGTGACGCCAAAAACGATGGGAGGAAGTATTCATAAATGTCGGCAATATTTCTTCGTAATACTTTGTTTTTGATTCTTTCAGTTCAGCACGCAGAAGCCTTGACAAATTGCGTATCTTGGATTGATCTTTGTTTACTTTTTGCCTCTGGCGGTTAATGGCGCTCTTCAAATGTATTATCTTCCTATTCATCCAAGGATTCTGTTTATTTTGTTTCTTTTTTTGCAAGGGCACAAATTTGTTGATACATGGCGACAAAATTTCTTTAAACCTTATCCACATCTCATTGACGTCACTTTTCTCACTGAACCCATCCAAGGAAAACGACAAGTAATCAATTATGCTTGTATCGTCAGCCTTGTTGAAGTTGCGCACATGCCTGAAGCTTTGTTTTTGCATGGCAAGTCACCATCAATGCTTATCTCAACTGAAACAAGTTTGTGGTCCGACGATCCATGTTCAATTGCAACGTTGTATGTGTCGATTCGCCCGTCAATAAAAACTAGATTCAGTATGGAATGCGGATACCCTGTTTCACGTGTACTGTCAGTGACAACCTGCGTGAGGTCATGGCTGAATGCCGTGTCTAAAAGCTGTTGGCAGTCTATTGCATCCTTCGATTTAGTTAGGAATGTGGTCCAATTAATACTAGGAAGATTGAAATCTCCCGCAATAACCATTCTACGATTCTGGGTAGCAATACCATCAAGGTATTGCTGCAAACTTTCTAGGTATGAACTAGGGGCGCCAGGAGGCCTGTAAATGGCACCCCAAACAAGGGAAGTTTTTCGTAATTTTATTTCTACCCATACACTTTCATGGTGGGGTATTCCTTCCATAAAAATTGCTTCAACATCTTCTGCAAGTAGGATCGCCACACCACCACCTCGTGTATCGCGGTCTTTTCTAAATATTTTGTAGCCGGGTGGTACAATTTCGCTATCCGCTATTTCCGGTCGCAGTCACGTTTCTGTGACGGTGATTACGTGTGGGTTATAGCTTGCTAGTATATATTCTAGGTAACTAACTTTATTCATAAGGCTCCGAGCATTTAGATTAATTAAGCGAAGGCTGCATGCACTTGACTGCGAATGGCATCAGTCATCGTCGTCAGAGTGATGTGGTTTTTTCTTTGTATGCTTAAGCTTAACTCGGCAGTTTTTGTCGTAGTCCTAGGAATACATGTCTTAGTCTATTACCAACTTATCGTAATTCGAACGCATGCGTTTTCCTGCATCTCTTTCTTTTTTTCCTGATTCCCATAGTAGCTTACGCTTGGCTAGAGTTTTCTTGCAAAAGTCGTCCCCAACTGATATCCTGCTGCCTTTTAGCTTTTTGCAATTTTTGTAAAATGTTAACTTCTCTCAGGAGTCGTATAACTTCATAATGACCGGACGCGGCGAAGGGCCCCCTTTTTGGCCTATTCTGTGGATCCGTTCAACTGTTTTTAGTTCGACGCCAAGCGTGCGAACAAAAATGTCCTGCAGTACCGCTTGTTCCAAGTCTTCTGTGGTTTCTGCCTCGCCCTCTTCAACCCCAAAGACCAAAAGATTAATCCGTCGACTCCTATCCTTTAAGCTTATTAATATAGCCTTTCTTCTTGTCTTGGTAGTATCACGTTAAGGTTTGTGATGGTTTTCGTTATTAGGCCTATTTTATACCCTGATCTTTGATTTTTTGAGTGGCGTCTTTTATTTTAGTCATTCTTTCTCCTAGAGTGCTCAGATCTGCCTTAATTGACTTCTGACCTTCAGACAGTTTCTTTAGGAGGACTTTCACATGAGGACCTGGGTTGAGTTCAACATCGCCAGACAATAGCAGGCACAAAGAGGAAAATGCAGAGAACAGTACACTTGGGCACGGCAGCACAACAACAAATCTGTTGTCAATTTTGTGACAGCATTCTGAGTAGAAACGGACATGTTCGAGCAACAGAAGCGGCATATTAGGCGACATTGCTTTCGCAGTGCTGCCGTATCCACCGAACGCTGCTCGCAGGGGGTCCAACTTTATAGGTCCCGCGAAGAACCGCTCTATGCGCGTTTCAGGGTGCCTGCGCTCGAGGGTAGCGTCGACGATGTGCCCGTGGTTGATAACAGCGTTGTCAGCAGCTGGTACGGCCACGCATGCGCTGTATTCTCCAGCTTGTAGTGATGCGCTGATGAAGAAAACCTGTTCGAGCAACAGAAGCGGCATATTAGGCGACATTGCTTTCGCAGTGCTGCCGTGCCCACTATCAACATACTATCAAGATACTACCAAGATACCATCAAGAGCTTATATTATGGTGCTTTCAAATCTTGTATTGGCGCAATTCCATTGCAAGCGAGAAGACAGCAAGCGCTTCATTTTGTTTGACAATGTTTTGTATTATAAATATTTTTTCTAATACTTGCGAAAGTATCGGCAGATATATATATATATATATATATATATATATATATATATATATATATATATATATATATATATATTCTGCGCTTTAAAACAAGCTCGTTTGGAGAAGGACAGTTTCAATGAAGTAAACGTAGCAAGAAAAATATGAATCTGCCACTTGTCGTCCAAACAAACGCATCGATATTTTCCTGACTGTCAGGCAGTCTTCAGAACAGTGTTCTAGCCGCTTTATTAAAGAAAACAGTAGACCGCGAGATATGCAAGCTGCAGTGATGCTCAATAAAGTGAAAAAAAAGACAAATCCCTGAGAGGTTCCGGCAATTGTTGCTCGCGCTTGAGCTTGGAAATGTTCTTGGCGCTACCCTTGCATTCTGTGGAATTCTCTCTTTGGCAATAGAAAAGAGGCAAACCGGTCGCTTGCAGTAAGCCTATTTAAAAGCGCTGCTTTCTCTTGTGAATGGGGCACTGTCACATGTTATTTTGTAGATTTCAGGGTCTTTCTACATAAAGAGGGAAAATTGAGCACACAATTATAACGATGCTGAAGGCGTCACACACAGGCATCATTTGAACATGCGCACTTCTGCCTCGTTGACATTTAGATAAATAGGCGAGTATTTGTAATTATAAATATTACTAACGATGTATATGAAATCAACGAAAAAATTTCATCGGTCACTGAACTACACCGGGAACAATATGCATTAGGTTTCATTCGCGCAACGCCATTACTTTTTTATAATGGTACTGCATAACAATGGAGACAACTTGTGTCACGCCAATTTTGAACTTCGTATTGTTTATTCTTATTGTTTCTTAGCAGTGTGGTTTTCAGTTGTTTTCACCTCATACTTGGTATTGTTGTTAGCAGTGTGTTTTTTTAGTTTTTGATCACAGTCACCTGATACTTGTTATTGAACGTAACATGCGTGTCTTGGCTCATGCCTTTTTGCTGTTGGTTTATTTCTTTGAGTTTTCTGTTTTTTACGTGCCTTATAATTCACTATTGTTGTAGCCCCTCCCCTCTGTAACACTTTTTGTAAGCCCTGAGGGTAATAAATAAATAAATAATAAATAAATAAATAAACAGGCGCTCGCACACTGCCTAAGGTTTGGCAGAACGAGAATCACACAGTGAAAAAAAACAAAAGTACTAACCTAGGGCTCGTTACTTTCAAAAGAAGTCCCACAAACGATGAACAAAGGTAAGGTGTAGCGAAGAAACAGTTTTTTGGAGACATGAAATGGAACCAGTTCACATAGGAAGGGTGGCTGGTTAGAGATCACTCGAACACCCCTTCATCTTGAAGTCGACATAAATCAGACTGCTGGCGATGTTAATGTAATAAAACAATGCCACATTCACTATTGGTCTAACCTGTGTATACTTTTCCGCAGGTGGAGAATTCTCGAGGTGAGAAGCTGGCAGTGGTACTGATGGACACCCAAGGGACCTTCGACTGCAAGTCGGCTACTGTTGTGCATTCTTCTATTTTTGCCTTAAGTGCCCTGATTAGCTCTGTGCTTGTTTACAACGTATCCCAGAACATCCAGGAGAACGACCTGCAGCATCTTCAAGCTTTCATCGAATACGGTATTCTGGCGCAATCTGACCAGCAGCAGCAGTACCGTAACATGCCTGATGAGGTAAATTTTATTCGAGCATATCTGATTAATTCTATCGTGCGCTCAAATTTCTTTTTGGCGGGAGACAGAGCCTTGTTGAAAAAATTGGGAGCACATTTGGAGAAAATGGCTTTTTGAGACGAACAAAAAAGTGGTCATTTCAGTTCAAAAAAAATAAGGTGGTCACCTGCGGTGACCACCATGCAGTATAGTGTACTGGTTCCATGCGGCGAAAGGCCGCAAAGTAATCCTCCTCTGCCCGCAGGTGCAAAGAAGCATTGTGTGCAGCACACATTCATCTCATTCTAGAGGTCACGTGTATATATCTTGAAAAACAGCTTCATTACAACTATACAAAATAATATATATCACCCTTCGAAGGGCTTTCATTCATTGGGGTCACCCCACGAGGTGAACTTCAGCGCCACGGTGCTAAGTATACTGATCGAGTGCAGCTTTATCTTTGGTAGAATTTGTTGGTAGATTCGTTGGTATTAGCAAGTCGGACGACCTGATGACCGGCAATATCAAAATAATAAGGTTGAGAGATAAGTAGTACACTTGGTATGGACGCTTCATTCACGTTCGTGGACTTAAGGTGATCTGTGGGACAACGCATATGGTTGATATTAGGAATCATACAATTCAGGAAAGTTCCAATTTTGCGAATGATTATGGTGGGGTTTAAAGCGGTGGCTGACCAGGAAAACATTAGAGACAATAGCTAGGTGGCACCGAATACTGGCCACAGCAAGTCAGAGCACCTTCAGACTTTTCGACCAAACAGGACAGTCAACCACACCCCATAGAAGTTTCCGAACCACTGACTACACTGACTACAACATCCCAGTGAGGGCAACCAATTATTCATGTCGCTAATTACCGTTCAATTGATAAATTACACCGGATCACTGCCTGAGTCGTGTAATTCAAGAGCAAACTAGAGCATAAGACCAGTGCAACAGGATTTCTAACCTCCCAAAAAATAGCTGGCACTGACATGTACTGGTTGCACCAAGTTCAAGCAGAAGCGTTTTGGAAGAGATAAAGGGAATCAGAAGTGAGTAAGAAGTTCTCCACAACGTCACATTTACGCAATACTTCGACTTTTATGGACAACACCTCTATTTTGCATGTTACAGGATGTCTTAGCTACAGATTGTGAGAAGAGCCTACACCACTACTGTATCGCAGGTACAGTAGTGGTAGTAGTGTCTTAACTACAGTGAAAAACCCTATTACGAGCGACCCCCAATCGTTTTTCCAAAAAGGCATCATTACTCGGGACCCATAGCTTCTCAGTGCCATCGCCGACATTTACATGCTGGTGTACGAGACACACTCGTAGAATACGGGAGCATTTTTGGATTCTGCATGCACGGCAGCTAGTCTAGAAAGTAATCAAGGAATGTGTATTGGTTGTCATCAGCATGCGAGAACATTTCAGGAAAAAAACACTCCTTTGCGTCCCCACAGGGTAAAATAGAGCCAAAACAATTCAAGCTCTGGGAATCAACTTCTCTGAACCACTACTCATGAAGTTTTCCTGATCGTTTAAGAAAGAGTACATTGTACTCCTCACCGGCGCGGTCATCGGAGCCATTCACCTCGAGCTGGTTGAAGACATGTCTGCTTCCAGCTCTCTTTACATGTCTTTCACCGCTTAGTTTCATGAATAAGATTATCGGCGAATGTATAGTCCGACAGTGCCCTAGTGTTGAAATTAGAGAAGAAATAACTACTTAGCCTCTGGAGAAACATGCAGCTGGTAGAACTCACGAATCATTTAGGAAACAGCAAGAGTGAATGGAAGTTTATCGTCGAGTGAGCACCTTGGTGTGGAGGATCCTATGAGCATCTAGTCAGATCCGTCAAACTAGCCTTGCGAATGACCACAGTACAGTATAACCCCATGAGGAATGAAATTATCATTACTCAAACAGAAGTTGATACCGTTCCTAACTTCAAGTCAATCGCGCACATTTTTTTGACGTCCGAGACCTAGAACCTGTCACACCAGCTCATTTCTTCACAGAAAAACGGCTCGACTCGATCCTAAGCCCGAGGTCATCTGAGTTGCTCTCGTTGTCATCGTGTCAGCTTAACCAATTATGAAAGCAGAGACAGGACAATCTAAAGGACTTTTGGTAACGAAGGGAAACGTGATACCTTGATAAACTACGCTCATCTCGTTAGCAGAGGTGAACTGCGGAAGTGAACATTGAGGACGTCTTACCTGTGGGAGATAGGCTTCAATCATGCTAGCTGTAGAAGCTAGCCAAAGTGACTGAAGTCCACGCTGGCTACGAAGAAAAAATAGGATCTTGTACTATCATACTTTGACACAACGCATCTACAACGAAGTACCTAGCTACTGTACCCTTTCGAAGTTCACCAGCTTTCAGGAACTTTGTTTCTGCACGGGGCAGTTGTTTCAACTCTTGACGAAGAAGTTGCGGCCTTTACGCGTGGCTCGATTGCTCAAAAAAAGGTACAGTTTTGTTTGCCTGGTTGGGCAGCAGGTAAAATAGGAGTTTACACGGAATTTAGGCCTTTAATTCTTCTACCTAAGGCGTTTGTCTCTACAGCACCACTCGGTACTGGCGGTTCGAATAAAACTGTCCCTGCTACGTTTGGATCAGCGGGAATTGCAGGAAACGCGGCGCGTACCCTTGCGCGTCGGTGGCAAACCTGGAGCACAACAGAGTTAAATTCTCCGAAGCTAGAGTGGTAGCTGGTGGCGAATAACTTTCTGCCCTGCTGGCACTGTAAGGTACCTCCTGTGAGCACCAAAGGTTGCGACGTTGTAGTGCCTGACGTGTTTACCGCAGGCCACTCTGGAGGCGGTGGCACGAGGCTCACGGCGCTTTGACTTGCCCTTCTTCCTGACAGTGCTCGTGGTCATCTGTTGTGGGTTTTGCTTCAGAAAATCCGCAGTTGTATGCTGTGGAAGTTATGGCATCGAAGCAGCCGTGCTCGATTGCGGCATTCCACCAATATGTGCTGAAATCTGCACTAGACGCGGAATACCTGAAGGCTGCACTAGACGGACCAATATGTGCTGAAATCTGCACTAGAGCTGCCAGAAGCGTCCGTATGTGGAAAGCTCGGTACTCGTGGCGCGCACTTGCGTGGAGAGTCAAAATCCCGCCATCATCGTCACGGCATCGTTTACGGGAGTTCGTGAGTGAATAATCTCGCAAGCTGTGGCTTTAGGCAGTGTTCAAACGCTGGTGTCAAGCGAGCACATTGCACACTCTAGCGGTGACTCGGGTGGGGTCACTTGAAGACCCTTACGAATGGGCCATCGGACTCACAGGTGTCCTGGCAGCACAGCAACTACCAGAGCGGCCATGATTTCGGCAGCAGCTGCTGAGGAGGGGGTGCTTCTGGTTCTCTACAGTTCCACAATAGCGGCGGCATTTCTTTGGAGGTCCTGACAGAGCCGGAACTCTTCATAAGTGCTGGTGGGCACCAAGAAAGTAGCTGATGCACTAGCCGAATGGCGATAACAGTGGCGAGGGGCACGCGTAGCGGGTGGTGCCAACTAAGCCATAGGAGCATTCGTGCCTTGCCATGGGAAACCCGCCACACGAAAAACTACAGATGGTCGTTGAAAACACAGTCGCAATCACTGAGTCAGTAGTCAGTATCACTGGGCTATTCCGCACTCACAGCAGAAAAGTGCATACACCAAATTGAGAGAGAGAGAGAGAGAGAGAGAGAGCAACGTCTGCATTCACAAAAGCATGGAAAAGGAGGACGTGGGAGGAACCGAAAGAATGGAGCCCTGTGGTGTCCCATGTCCTGATTGATTTATTGATATGTGGGGTTTAACATCTCAAAACCACCATATAATTTTGAGAGACGCTGTAGTGGAGGGCTCCGGAAATTTCGATCACCTGGGGTTCTTTAACGTGCGCCCAAATCTAAGCACACGGGCCTACAACATTTCCGCCTCCATCGGAAATGCAGCCTCCGCAGCCGGGATTCGATCTCGCGACCTGCGGGTCAGCAGCCAAATACCTTAGCCACTAAACCACCACGGTGGGGCGGTGTCCCATGTCCTGTAACGTGGATTGTACCCGACCGATGCGGTCCCGTTCCCACAGTGGCCGTACGATCCCGAAGAAATGAGCGGATGTAGTTATGCATTCCAGTTCCACAATGCGACTCAGCTAAATTGCGAAGGATGAGGTCATGTTCAACATCATGGAAGGCCCCCTTTAAATCTAAAGCAATGAGTGCTCTCGTTTGGGCGTGAGATGGAGGCCCTAGAACTTCCTCCCGTAGCTCTAACAGTACATCTTTGGCCGATAGATGACCTCGGTATCCGAATCGATAATGCGCGAAGAAGGATTGCTGTTCTAAGAAGTGCTGCAGACGTCGCGAAAGGACATGCTCCATCAGCCTACCAATGCAGGAGGTCAGGGATATGGAACATAGGTTTTGAACCTGAACTGGTTTTCCTGGCTTGAGAATCAACGAAATATTGGCGTGTCGCCACGCTTGGGGAAGCGTACCTTGGCGCCAGTATTCATTGAATATACCGGTGAGGTGGGCGGTATTCGCATCACTTAGGTTGCGGAGTGCGATAAACCGAATGTGGTCTGCTCCGGGGCCGTGTTATGATGTAGATCTTGTTACACTACCCGTACTTCCTCAACCGTGATATTCGCATCCAACAATTAATTTGTCTCGCCTACGTGTGGATAGTCCGGGCAATGTGGTGTTGGGCCTGTCGGGATGAAATGTTTTTCGAGCTCACCGAGAAGTCTCGAGGGGTCGTCTCGATGCTCGTTTATTAGGATGTGTAATTGTCGAAATCTTTTTGTTTTCGTGGTAGTGGGATCTGTGAGGGATCGAAGAATCGACCATGTTTTTGTGGTGTCTAATGCTCCTGAAAACCGGTTGCAGAATCCTCGCCAGTTATTTATGGTGAGCGTCGCTGCGCATCCTTCAGATTCCCGCGTAATTTGATCTATTCTTTTTGTCAGTTTACGATTCAGACGTTGGCGTTT